CACGCCTCAGATGGATAGGCCATGTAATCAGACGAGAGGAAGATGCCATAGGCAGAAAAGTTTTTGACCGAAGAGGGCCGATCGGACAACGAAGAAGAGGAAGACCGAGACTTAGGTACCAAGACAACCTAGAAAATGATTTAAAGTCTATCGGAATTAGAGCATGGAGAAGAGTTGCCAGAGACAGGGGCGAATGGAGGATTGTTCTGAAGAAGGCTTTGGCTCATAAAGAGCTGTAACGCCAATGATGATGATGATGATGGTGATGATGATGATGATGATGATGATGATGATGATGATGATGATGATGATGATGATGATGATGATGATACTCCTACAACTACCAAGAATATATGAGTCAAACTAATGGAACCTCCCTTGCATTTAAGACATCTTTTGCTAACTGAAAAGTTGATCCTTAAATGTCGTGGAAATGACCAAACTAACTTATTGCCAAAAATATCTGACATATTTGCTTATAATTTAGTTGATACATGATGGCATGACAAAACTTCTCCAACTTTAGCTATGACATTTCGTAATGTTTCTTCCTAAATAGAAATACTAGTTGAAAGTCATTTCTTCCAATCTAATTTCAGTATTTTTTATTCCCAAACCACATACCATTGTCGCAGATGGGTCCCAGTATTCTTGTCTTCTTTTTCTTCTTCTTCTTTTTATGTAGACACGACTCTGTCTGTTTTTAAATTTGTCTCTAGTAGGTTGTCGTTCCATCGTTTTCGTGGTCTTTTTACTGATCGGCTTCATTCAGGCAACTTGCGTCTCTATTTGCTCTATTCACTCGATCTTCTACTTCAATTTTGAGCTCTTCGTAGTTAAATAATGTAATGATATTTAATTATTATTATTAATTTATTTTCGTACTCCTTTTTAGTTCTTATTTTTTTATTTTATCCATAATCAGGTTGAACAATAAAGGATTCAGGGAATCTCCCTGTCTTTATTGTGTTATTTTGGTAGATATTTTCGATCGGTTTGATTATTCCTAAAGGTATTGTTGGAGAACTATAATCTCCAACCAAATAATTATATATCAAAACAGATAATTCTATTTCGTAACAAATAAATATTTTCGCGTCGGTTACATAAATAAATCCAGTATGCATTGACTTGTTTCTGGGAATGTTAATCTCCGCCTACTTGACCTTAGACCGGTCGAAATTCAAAATGCATAAACAAGTATTTTCGGTGGGGCTGCGGGAAGACAGTGAATTAGCGACAGGCGTAGGGCTTAGACCTTTCAAGTTTCGGAGAGATTTTCTTCACGTTCGCAATTTACGTAATAAATCGGAAACGATAATGTGTGAAGTGCTATAGCATTTTCGTTCGTAAACTGTAATTTTCTAATTAAGTTCCTTACGTTTAGTTATTCACTCACAATTTATAACTTTCTATTTCTTATCCTTTTTCAATTACAGCTCTAGCTAATCAAACAATTGTTTTATTTCACTTTATATCTATTCAACAGGCCAGATTAAAGCACCATTAAAATTCCATTTAAGTTTCTTTACTGAGTTGTCGAAGGCTAGCGGACCAATTGGACTTCCAGCAAGTACAAAACCGCTGAAAGATACACTGTTAGCATACAAGACTCTCCCTGGAGGGATGTTGAAAACCAACACCCATACAGGTATCTCTCTTGCGTACAATAAGTGAATAACATCATTTAATTTGACCCGGTCAATTGCCGAAATATAAATATGCCTGGGGTAATTGAGGGGTGTATTGAGTAGTTCTGTGGTTATCACAGCCAGTCCCAAGCCCGACTAAATTGTGGAGGGTGATTGGCAAGGTTAGCAACCTACCAATCGTAAAAACTAATATTGCTCAAAGAAACAATATATTTCTTTTAAAAGTATTAATAATGTTTATTGTTTTTTCTGTCATTATCCATGTTTCTGCGCCATATATAGCTATTAGTCGTATTTAGTATTTGGGCGTTTTTGTATCTCCTTTCTTTCCTCGGCATATTTTTTCTGCATTTCTTCGTTTTTCAAATTTTTGGCGCCTTTCTCGTGTTGTTCTTTGAGAATACCGTATGTATAGTTCACTTCTTTTATCTATTGCTTGTTTACATTCTTCATCAAATATCTATTTCCTTCAATCTTTTTTAAGTCCTATCACTCTTTTAACCCTTTCCTACGTCCACCTCTGAATATTCTTTCATTCTTCTTGTAATCGCTTTTCTATTTCGAGTTTTTTCGGGTTGTCGAGGTTTAAGTTTTCGGTCTTTGGGTGTTTGATCTTCTCCGGCGACACGGACAAGAAATCGAATATATAGGAAAAATGCATAGCCTCCATGATACAACTAATGAAAATGCAAGCCTACTATAGACCTATAGACTTCGCTGTTGGCAATGGAATGATCATAAGCTTCAACCTTTTTTCCTAAGCGAAACATCAATAAGGTCATATGGCTCTCACCGAATGGTTGAAAAAACAACCAGATAGACCACATGTTATAGAAGAGCGGCCACAAACGTAATGGATGTGAGATATGAGGAAAGCAGTATGCAGTTCAGATCACTTTGAATTACAAATGTTACTGCCTAATAATAGTATATTATGCAACGAGCATTTAATGAGTCATTATGATGTGAGTATGAGGGATACGACATGAGATGTGTATAGAATACAAGCATCGTAATGGCAATTAAATGCGAGTAGTATACATGATTTTTTCTACGACCATTCAGAAAAAATAGATTTTTTAGACATCTCGTCATAACAAATAAAACATTATAAGAAAACTGTTTACCTTATTGTCAATTCTCTACTCCAAAAATTTCGAAAACACCTTTTCGTACGTTTTTTGCGATTTCTCCGGCAGTAACATTTCTCACGTTATTTTTACTCGTATATTTGTTTCAGGTGGTGTTAAATTTTCAATATCCATATCGTCTTCAGACATTTTTTTAAAAATATTTAATTTTGAAATTTATCAGTTTGTTTAAATATTGTGAACTGTCAAAGCATGCATTTGTCTGACATTGCTAATTGCGTATATGCCACCTTCAATACGGAAGGTCCTCGGCAGTGATTCAGTTGGTTAAAATCTGTATAATAATGAAAATCTGTATCACACTGAAGCCACTCATGGTATTTATTGAAATTTGAATTGATATTGTTCTGAAGCTATTTTCTTGTGGCACTTTAAAGTAATTACTGTTTAAATGGGAATAAGCCACAATTAAAGGTTAAAGTAAGTTTATTGACGTTTCAATTTCCACTTCGGAAATCGTTCTCAAAAAGAACAATTTTCGAGGTGGAAATTGAAACGTAAGTGTAAGTGTGGTGCAACTGTATATTTAAGTGCGAGAAACTAATAGAAGATTGGTGGACACGTGAAAATAAAATAAACGAAATAAGTCCAATCATAATAACAATTAATGGTGATGACAGTGATGATGATGACGATTATGATATTTTTGATGATAATGAGTGATTTTCATTTTTGTTGGCAAGTTAAATTTTTTTATTTTTCATTAGAAATTCTCTCCATGGAACAAATATACATAGACCATATTTTCTGTGTGAAGTGTAATATAAAATTATTATTAGGTTCATATTAGCCACATTAGACTCCATTAATGAAGTAATTCTTCTTATTATACTGTCAATTATATAAAAGATTTTCAGAGCAGGTAATTAAAACTGGGTACTTACGATAAAATTTTTAATCCTAAACCCGTGTAAATATAGCGAAACGACTATATTAATTTGTCCATGAGTACAATGTATATCTCATAAAAACGCATTAGTTTAGTGATCCTACTCTAACTGAATTCTACTGGACTAGCACACTACGACTTGGGGACAGACTATACCATAATAAATGTCTACCTGCCTTGTTGCAACAACGATTCTTAATACTTTTGTGTAAATAACAAGTCAACAAGTGTATCTATAAAATGTATAAATATTTGTAAGATAATCACATAGATGGTAACTATAGAACTTCTTTTATGACTGTAAAATTTTCTTTACCACAGACAGAAAATTTGTATGCGTGAAATAAGCAAATATTTTTCCTTGTGTATCTAAAAGATCTTGGTAATTAAGTAAGTCGTTATATACTCAGACACCTGGAAGTCAGGCGCCACTATATAAACAGGGTTTGTGCTGAGAATATGTCGTCGCCAAAAAAATTGAAAAAAGTTTCAAGGAGATCAAGTATACCAAGAATCGCCACATACAGTCATTCTACAGGGTGAATGACAATGGTTCAATAACCTATACCTAGTGTAAAAGTTAGAATTATGAAAAAGTAGTATTAGTGCAACAAATGTTTAGTATTTATTATCTATTTATTGTTACTTTTGGATCAGATAAGAAACACTCCTTCGTGCTTAATTTATGTTTATGATATGCTTTCATAAAAAATACTAAAAGGGAATTGGAAAAAAGACTGGAAAACTAGAGGCAGGCTCTTGAAGAAAGTAAAAGTAAGATGGGTTTTACAGAGCAATGAGGAAATCGATCAATAAATATTTGTTAATCCATAATTTAAAAACAATTTTCAGTGTATTATGGTTTTTATCAAAAAAAATATACAGTGCTAGTCAAAAGTCCGTTACCTCCTCTTATCTTTTGAACGGTTATTGTTATAATAATTAAATTTGGAGGGAGGTAAAAAACAGACGTAGGCTTCTCAACTGGTCATAACAGGTGACGTAATAGTGACAGATGATGTTACAGCGCCACTGTGACAAATAATTTTAAATAGGACCTTATGGCAAGTCACCCTCGTTTTAAAGGTATTAAAAATACCTATTCAGTCATAATAGTTTTGTTTGAGTTGAAGCTCATTTTGATAAACTAAATAAATACTCAAATTGTAGCTTCCCATTTAATTAATGAATATTTAACAACCAGTTCTTATAAGAAGTGTTCAAAATGTGCTCCATCTACTTCCAGATAGTAATGTATCACTATTTTATTGCCGAAATCTTAATATATTTTTTTCTTTATTTTTACAGGAATGTATCATTGTCTGCGTCGTATCTCTAGAAGAAATCAATGTAACTCCAGACACAGTTCCGTATTCTCAATGCCGGGAAGTCCGAACTGTTTCCTCGGCTTCTTCGAACATGGACAAAATCACCATCGCAGCTAGCGCTGCTATCTGCGGTACTATTGTGGTGGCGGTTATTGTATTTATAGCAGCTTCGAGACGACGATCAAGAAAACTACATGAAATACATCAACAGAAAATGGGAATGAAGCACGGAATACCTATAGCTGGATTACCTGTTAATTGTTGTACTGGTTTGCCAAACAGCCCAGGTGAACCTCTGTCATCGTTGGCAACACTTAGTGCTTTCAATGCTACAAAGGTAAGTAAACTACTACATAACTTAATTATTTTACCTAGTAAATTAATAGTAATACAAGTGATTAAAGAATTCATCATCATCATCATCATCCAGCCTGCATTTATCACGTCCACTGCTGGGCATAGGCTTCCCTTAAACTCCTCCATTCTTTGCGATTTTGTGCTCTTTGTTGCCAATTTTTCGTGATACGGCTGATGTCGTCAGCCCAACGTGAAGGTGGTCTTTCCATGGCCTGTCCAATTCCATTTTAGTTCCGATTCAAAAATTTCCTATGGGGCTGCACTCTGTTATTTTTGCTATCCATCAGTTTGGGTCTGTTCGTCTGACATGTCCGTACCGCGTTAATCTTTTTTCTTCAATGTACTTTAAGGCGTCTTTCTTTATCTCCATTCGTCTTTTGATTTCGTCGTTAGTTATTTTGTCCATTCTGGAAACTCTGCAGCTTCTTCTCCAGCAGTCCATTTCTGTGGCGTTTATTTTGTTTCAGCTGCTTTTGTTTAAGACCCAATTTTCTGCTCCATTAGAATTCTGCGAATCATCGTGTTATAAATTCTTTTTTTGTAATTTTTGTTATCCGTCTGTTTCATAGGATTGGATTCAGTTGTCTTATAGAGTGTGTGGTTTGACCCACTCGATTTTTAATTTCTTCTTCTGTAGTAACTTTATTTGATATAATGAACCCCAGGTATTTAAATTTATCAGTCCCCTTTATTTCACGCCCGTAATCCACTTCCAGGTTTCTTGTTGGTTCTTGTGTTGTGTTGAGATATTCTGTTTTGTTAATGTTTATTTCCAGGCCATTTATATTATATTCTTCTTCTAGTTTTCGAACCATATAACTTAGATCTTCCTCGTCTTGTGCTATTCAAGAATTCATTCATAGAATATTCAAGAATTGCCAAGTGAAAATGCACTATTCATTTTACTTACCTAAAGAAATCCTGTAACTTGTTTTTATAACAGCAAATAAACAAAAGGCCGTCCATACATATTTGTTAAAAGTATACGAGAATTTCCATGTTGTAAATATTAATACACTTAGAAAAACCCCTACAAGATGACACTTGTTGATGAAGAAATTATTTATTCAGATTACACACGTTACTACTTACAATCGCAATCGTATTTTTTAGGGTGCGAACGTATTGCTTCAAATGATATTGCTAATAGTTTAACTAAACGAAGAGCTAGTACTCTTTTTATCGGACCTGAACCTTTTTGTGGTATTCTAAAAAGCCGCATCATTAAAGATATTCAAGAATGATAATCAACTTAACATAACCTACCGGGAAAGTATAGATTACTGCAAACTTGTAGCAGTAAAGAGGTTACTAAAACGTTGTACTCATCGTGCAAAAATACTGAGCTTGAAAAGACCGGTGTTATCACAGAAAACTGCGTAATCAGGTATCTCTGTAAATTGGACAAATTGGACATTAATTGGAATTAAGAAAAGAACCCTTTCGAGCTACATTGAAAACCGTTTTTGTTCAATCCTGTTACTTGGTATACATGTTTAAAACCACTAAATCTATCTTATCTATCTAATCAGCCTTAAACGCCCACTCTTGGGCATAGGCCTCCCCTGTTAATCTCCATTGGTCTCTATTTTGGGCGATCTGCATCCAGTCCTTTCCTGCCGTTCTCTTAAGGTCGTCAGTCCATCTCATATGTGGTCTTCCTCTTTTTCTTTTCTTTTCCCATGGTCTCCAGTGTAGAATTCGCTTATTCCATCTTTCATCTTTTTGCCGGAGAGTGTGACCGGCGAATATCCATTTAAGTTTTGCAACCTGTCTTGATACATTGTTCACCTTTGTTCCATGAGTTTCTTTTCCTGTCTTTAAGACCGATACCCAGCATCTGTCTTTCCATTGCTCTTTGTGTTTTGGATATCCTGTCGATGTTCTCCTTTGTGAAAGTCCATGTTTGTGAGCCATATGTGATAACTGGTAAAATGCACTGATTGAATACTTTCGTTCGCATATATTGAGGGAACTTTTTATTTTTTAGAATTTATGATAGTTTACCAAATGAGGCCCATGCTAGTCTAGTTCTTCTTTTTATTTCTTCTGTTTGATTGTCCCTGTTCAGCTTTATTATCTGTCCTAGGTATATGTATTCTGTTACCTGCTCTAATTTATTCTGTTTGACTACTATTTCTAATTGGTCTTCTTGGTTTATCATAGTCTTGGTTTTACTATAGTTCATCTCTAGACCTACCTCTGTCGCTTTTCTATCTAGTTCCTCAACCATCTTCTGTAACTCTTCCTTCTTATCTGTAAACCACTAAATATATGGGTGAAAACTCTTTATTTTATCAAATTGGTATTATATGAAAAACCCTTTATGTTATCAAATTGGTATTAGATGATATAGTTGCTGATAATTTTGTAGGATGTTAAAATTTAGACATTATGTAGCAACTGAGTTAAATTAGCTATGAAATACGATGATAGATTGATATTAAACTAGCCTTTGATAGCTTGGTTTTTACAGCCGTCAAAAGTAAGCACATTTTATGTTTTCGGAGAAATGGAAAAAGTCGAGTATCGTTCGGTCATTAAGTTCCTCCACAAAAATGGTAAAACGAATGTGCAAATCAAAGCCGACCTGAACGAAGTTTATGGTGAGGTTGCAACTTCGTTACCAACAGTAAAATTTTGGAAAGCTGAATTTGTTCGTGGTCGTACGAGTGTTTTTGATGATGAGCGTCCCGGGGGGATAAATAATGTCACCACGCCGGAAATGATCAACAAAGTCCATGACATGATTATGGCAGATCGTCGAATTAAGCTCCGCGAGTTTAGAGATCCTAAATATTTTCTACGAACGCGTACACAGGCACATCATTCACCATCATTTGGACATGAAAAAGCTATCGCGCGATGTGTGCCAAGTTTGCTGACAATCGATCAAATGCAAAAACGTGTGACCGCCGCTTTATCACCGTTAATGAAACCTGGGTGCATAATGACACACCAAAGAATAGTCGAAACAGAAACGCGGCAAAGAACCGCTGAAGAAGACAAAGAGTGCACATTCGGACGGCAAAGTGATAGCGACTGTTTTCTGGGATGTGAAGGGCATCATCCACACCGACTACTTGGAAAAAAGAAAAACAATCAATGGTGAGTACTACGCAGCATTATTGGATCGATTCAATGCCAAATTGCGTCGAAAATGTCCCGGATTGGAACGGAAAAAAGTGCTCTTTCACCAATACAATACACAGGCTCACCGATCGACCATCGATATGGCAAAATTACACGAATTGGTTACACGAATTGGTTAAATAGAGCAAAAGGTAAAAGCTGGCTTGATTCTGATTTTCAATATGTAAAGAGACCGCTAAACCACAGCTATGTTTTACAGTAAAATATGGGTAATACATATCTGTGAGTTCCGAGAGCCAAAAGGTTAACAAAATGCTATTTTACTAGATAATCGTACTCCGTTACAATTGTAGCACAACTCTTTATTTTTGTTGAGATTATCGATCAAATGGTTAGACAATGTTGAAACTCTGAATTATCTGTATACGACTTAGGCATCAGGCAGGTTGTTAATAGTGGAGTCGTTTCCACGGTGCAATCTATTGAGGATTTATTGATCTATGTATTGATCTATCTCCCCTTAGCTTGGGAATTGTCTTGTCGGTTTTACGAGACCGCTGGAAAACATTAAAAATGAAGCGTATATGTATGTGCGAATGTTTTTATCATATTAAATGAAAAACTACTCAAAATACTCGTTGTAGTTCTCATGATATAGATGCTGCTGCCTCTATGTCCTAAGAACTTCCTAATTTAATCTGTCCCGCGTGGAGTACTACTCAGTATAGAGTTCCATCTATATTCCCGTGCACAGCGACTTTTGCTTATCTGTCATAGATCATCTTGTCAAGTAATTTTCTGCTGCTTCGCTGATCTTTCCTTGGTCTTCATTGCAGTATTTTGCAAGTCTACCGTCCAACCGTCGTCCTTCGTACGTGAACTTAAGTTGCCTAGCTCTTTCGATGATATCTGGAACCTTAGTTTTAGTTTGTAGATCTTCATTTCTGGTTTTGCCTTTTAGCTTAACACCAATCATGGATCATTCCCTTCTTCTTTGTATTGCCCTTAGTCTCAAAACGTTTTTCTTTATAAGTAAAAGTGTCTTTTATTCACTATAGGTCATTAGTGGCAGCACACAGTAACCGAAGACTTTTCTATTTATATTGATTTTTAAATTTTCTTTAGATTGCATTTTTAAGGGTTGTTTAGGTCACCCATTCAATCGCTTCTACCAATATAAAGTTGAATAAAAACCAGAACGTGTATCGCAAGTTCAACTTTCCAACCAGTAAGTATCTTTTTTTAGTAGCATTTGGGCTATTGCTGATGCTTTAAGAAGATGTGTTTTTATGGAGAACCATTTTCTTCGGTTTTTTACCCTTCATATTCTTATTTCTCCAATTCCTTGCTTTCAGATTTGTTTATTTATTGCAATTTCTCATTGTGTGTCCGAGGGACTCTAACTTTCTTTCTTTTAATTGCGTACATCTTTCCTTCCCATTCTTTATAGTATGGTATTGTTGATTGTCTTGTGCCTTAGAAGTAACCTAGCCACATCTCGAAGGTTTCAAGCTTCCTCTCCATCTAGCATTCTCTATTCTATGAGTGATCCCAGTGTGCGTTTACTATTATTCCAAGATAGCTTAACTGTTTTCTCGGTCCATTGGTGTATTCTTGATAAACAATTGGGTGACTCCAATTTTATTTTATGACCATAAATTCAGTTTTTGATATATTTATTTCTGATCCAAATCTTTCACTTACCTCATTTTTACCTTATTCATTAGCCGTTGTAAGCTTTTTAGACTGTCTGCAAAAATAATGGAATATTCCATGTTCGCAATTTTTCAAGGCTTCACTAAGCATTTCCTCTAAATATAGATCAAATAATAGAAGTTGAAAGTATATGTCCTTTCCTAACTCCTCGCAGAATCTGGATCGCATCTGTCTGTTCATTTCCAATATTTGTTCTACCGGTGGCTGATTGGTTTTAATTTAAATTTTGCATTAAATATCTCCATTTAAGCTTTTGTTAGTACATCTACCAGTTATTACAATATGAACAAAATCAAATTGTCAAACAAAAACGACATTAAAAGAATGCAAATATATTCACACCGAAGAGACATTGACATTGGTACATCTGCGAAAAAACTGCATCACCCCTATCTTACGCAATGCTGGTACCGACACATAACTAGATAGGGAAAGTATTTAATTATATATTTTTTCGCTGACAACCAATAAGCTATTTAATTAATAATTAATAAAAGATACTAATTTTGCTATCGAAAGCGGATAAACTTATAAATATGGATTAAGTACAAAAAAAGTTCACGGTTTCCATATGTTATATAAATATATGCACAAAATCAGTGACCAACAAAGAAATGAAGCTATTAATAGAATAATACAAATCTTAAATGCTGGATACGAATTTGAAGGAAATAAAGACGAGATGGTGATAATTAGTTAGTTATCGAGACAATATTTTTCTAATATATAATTATTAATAACGAAATGTCAAATAAACTTATTAAGTAAAATTGCGGCTTACTCTCAATAAAAATAGTAAATATTTTTGATTTTTTTAACAGAACGATTATTTTAAGAAAAACAATATTCTTTATACAAATTTGATAAAAGAGTTTGTCAATCTTCAAGGTGAATTGATACAAGCAACGAAAGAAGCACTACTGATTTTTATTTGAACTCCGCATTCATCTGAAATACAAACATCATCATCATTGCCAGTATGGCTGTGAGTCAACTACTGGACATAGTGTAACAAAAAATGTGTAGGAATATAACAAAAGTGTGTATGAAATGAAACACAAGTAGTTGGGGGTAAAGTAAAAGATAGCATATAATCTTAAAGCTGGCTAGCAGAAGTTGCCGGAGAGTGACTACTTGACACTCAAAGGAGGATTCGGCCAATTTTCATGCCCTACAGGTACCGTAGAATAAGAAAATGAATGACAAGGTTATAAAAAAACTATAGAAATATAACTAAGATAAATAAAAGTTATTATAGAAGTTGCTCCAAAATGTGAGTAGGCGCCAGGAAAATATTTACATAAACTTTCCAAGGTATCTTGTAAAGCTATGTGCTGAAATAAAAAAAGGATATAGGTCTGAATTGAAATATTTAATTTTCACCAAAACTTTAATCCCTAGCCAAATATATACAATATAAATTTATCTTAAAATACCCACCACCAATTATGTACAGTCAACTTAATTATATACAAAAAATAAATGCCCTGGTTATACCCAACTGATCCTTGATGATCTAAATTTACAAATAATAAAATATGGGAAAAAATGGTAATGATTGATATAAAAAGGTAATTTGCTTGCCTCAGAGATGCAACTCTGTATTTTGGGGCTTTCACTTGAATGTAATTGTAACAAGTAATAAGGACAGTATCTTGACGAGATAAATGTCCAAACGTTTAAATATATAATAATAAAATCTTTAAAAAAAATAACTCTCTGATTAAATGTGTACACATGAAACCATACAAATGAGTTAACAGGGAGGATTTAAGACCTCAACCTACTTAGTCTCTAACTATAATTAAGTATTATTTCAGGAAAAAAAATGATGGTTTCTTTATATTATTAAGCAAAAAAAATATGATTAAACGTTCAAAACAAAAAATATTATATATAAAAAAACATACTCGCTGCAGCGACTTTGACTAGTGACTTTGACACATAAGACATCAAGCTAATGGTGCGGTAATCGCCGGTTAGTTTTAATACCAAGTACCCTATTGGTTATCAATAGGTGGACGTTTAGATTTCAGGTCATTTTACTATATAAATCATTGTTATAAACGATGCATTACAAAAGTTCTCAGGTAAAAATAATCGAAAATCATTGAATTTAAGGTAAAATATTAGTAGAAATGCTTAACTAGTCCTTGCCAATACCAGATGTAAACTATGTTTAAAACTTTTTAGGAATGGGATCAAGTTTCTGCTTACAGTACTCATAGCCAACGGCCCAGAATGTACACATGTGACGCGCCGCCCTCCATTGACGACATGCGTTCACATTTCGGACCGAAAGGACCCAAACGATCCAACGCCGATGGACAATCCCAGAACAGTTTCTCCAATCATTCAGGAAGATATCTCACAGCTAACGCGTTCCCAAATAATTTACTGGCTTCTAGACAAGGTAAGGTAAGACGAAGCTACATTTTCAATGCAAATTTGGCTTAGTAGTGAGCACAAAATTGTAGATGTAGTTTAGAATATCACTTATTAGTTAAATACTATAATCTCTTCCAGAAAATAAGAGAAATGATAGAAACACTGACTCTTAGATAAATTGGATCTATTTATACTTCTTATGAATGACATAGAAAATGGCGAAAAACGAGACGAGTTTAGAAATTACATAAAAACAGTGCAGAAGAAATGTAAGAGAATGTAAGATATGGAAAAAGTATTTTCCTAAAAAAAACAAGCAAGATGAAGTCACTTGAGATATTACAATGAAAATATGACAACGAATAACACTCATATAAAATTCAAAGATAAACAAACAACACCTGAACGAACTATTTCAACTCAAAAATAAAAAGGGAATCGTAGAGTCAAGTATAACATTAGGAAATAGAAATGAAAACGAAGATTCCCGAAGAATGACAGAATGAAAACACATTATAGAGATGGTGACTCTAAAAACACACCATAGAAGCCTGAAATAAAGATGAGTTGGTCTCTATGCAAAGAAAAAATATCACAAGGAAGACAGAAAATATTAAATAATGTAAGACACAATAACAGGAATCTCGATAGCAACTGCATAAACTAGATAAATGTTTAAATGGGATATTAAACACAAATAGCTGATTGATCTTGATATTAAAGAAGATTCACGAAGTCGAAAAGAAGTTGTAAATAAAGATATAAAAAATGGTTTATGGTTATCTTTGAGAAGATGAAGACAATGAAGAATTGGTGTTGGTGTCAAATGATTTAACCTTACATAGTTAGTAGTAGTAATAATTATACTTTATAGAAATTTATATATACACGGTGTCTTAACGAAAATTTGTCTTCTCTGAAGACTTGTATCTTGTTGATGCTTGAAGTAGAGTGACTCTCATGTTCAGTCAGTCAATGTTCATCTCGAGAGATAGGGATCATCATCATCATCACAGTCATTAACATCTTAGTAGATGTGTTGTGGTTCATAATTGGGCTTCAGCAGCTCGGACAGTTTGATTGATAATATTTCTCCACTGGTCGCGGTCATCAGTTATATGTATTTCCTCAGTATACTGTTTATTGAGAAGCTTTTTAGTAATGTCCGCCCATCGCTGTGGAGATCTTCCGCGTTGGCGTTGAGTCTGAGGCCTTCCTTGGACCACCAACCGCTCCATTTTGTGATCACTTCGGTAGATATGGCCAAAGAACTTTAAAATTCTAGAGTAAACGGTACTTTAGAGACGCTGATCCGGTTTAATTTCATCCAGAACCGAGATATTTGTACGGCGAGCCGTCCATGGAATTCGAAGCAGGCGTCTCCATGTCCACATTTCAAAGGCGTCTATACGTCGTCGATCTGATTCTTTGACTGTCCATGTCTCGCATGCATAGTAAAATATCGAAAAGACCAGAGTTGAAACGAGTGTCTTTTTGTTTGTCATAGTAATGTGACGATCACGCCAGACCCCGTTTAGTTCACTCATTGCTGCTCTTGCTAGTTGAATGCGTCTTCTAATTTCGGATTCACAACTGCCTGTGTTGTTAACTAGAGCTCCAATATATATCATAGATGAGACTACCTCGCATCCCGCAATAGTTTGGGTTTCAGGAAACTGTTGTTGGCGATCAATAACCATGATTTTAGTTTTGTTGTAGTTAACCATGAGTCCAAATTTAGCACTTTCTACCTCGAGTTTTTTTAATAATTTAATAATTTCTTCTGGAGTAGAGGCTAGAAGTGTAGTGTCGTCTGCGAAACGCAAGTTAGATATCTTAACACCACCTAGGTTTACTCCTCCCTCCCAACCATCCAAAACTCTGCGCATTATGAACTCCGAATAGATGTTAAATAATAAGGGAGATAAAACGCATCCTTGGCGTACTCCCTTCTCCAAAGTGCATTTGTCAGACAGATATCCGTCCATTCGAATATATGCCAGGTTATCTTGATACAGTTTGCTAATAAGGTGAGTCAAGTATTTAGGTACACCCATTGTCGTCAATATGTTCCATAGTTTGACCCATCTAACATTATCAAAGGCCTTTGTATAATCGACGAAACATATAAATATCGGGATCTGGTATTCTCTGGCTTTTTCTATGATGTTTCGTACATTAAGGATTTGTTTTCTAGTACCTCTGCCCTTTACAAATCCAGCCTGCTCAGGTGCTATTTGCCAACTTATGAAGTTTTCTAGACGCCGTTGCAGTATGTAGAGGATCACCTTACTGGCGTGTGATATTAGAGCTAATAGCCTGTAGTTGCTCCAATTATTTGTTTAACCTTTCTTATGAAGAGGTATGATTATGGTCTTTCTCCAATCCTCAGGCCAGACGCCTGTGTGCCATATTTCATTGCACAATCGATGTAACATTTTCACTCCACATTTCGGAAGATGCTTCAAGACGTCTGCAGTAATGAGATCATATCCTGCTGCTTTGTTTAACTTAAGTCTTTTTAAAGCGAATTCCACCTCGGAAAAAAGTATGTCAGGTTCAGACTCAAAACTAGTGTGGTGTGTCTCTGTTGAAGGAGAATGGAAAGTGGAGGTCTGGCAGTCAGGTACAAACGGGGCGTCCGCTGGCATCTGGTCCGTATTGGCGTATAAAGACTTACAATACGCCCTCCAAACATCAATAACCTTGTCCAAATCCGTCTGTACATTACCTTAATCATCTTTGATAGACCAAGATTTCTGCTTGAATTTACGTGTGAGTTGTCTGACTTTATCAAAGAGTTCTTTGGTGTTATTTGTGTCGGCGTGTAGTTGAATTTCTCTGCAGATTTTCTCTATATGCTTGTTTTTGTCTCGTCTACAAGCAGCCTGAATAGCTCTAGATAGCTGTCGGTACTGGGAATTCCTGAGAGGGTTCTCGATTCCAGCAATTTTAAGTTTTCTACGTTCTTAGGGAGGGAGGAGATAGGGATAAGGATTTTTATTACGTGTGGATTGAACATTTTCTGTACTTGTTTAGGATCGTTTGATCCTCTTCAGGCTTGGATTTGAATGTGTTGTGTTGCAAGAGCAAACAGTCCTAGAATCCACTGGGGTGTTAGCGTTCTTCTTCTTCTGTGGAAAATTTGGAGACTGTCGAGATAGAGTCGCTATTGAATCAGAGGTGAAAGGCTTGACTGGAATTTGGCATTCTGTCCAGAGTGAATGTGTGTGTTTTTGAGCTAGCCGGGTCTCTAGTGACCATTGTTCCTGCAGCCGTTTATGCGTTTGCGATCAACTCTAAAACTAGTGTATTGCACTAAAATTTTATTATTGATCGCTTCCGCTAACAGTCAGGCCTCGTCGGAGTTTAATAGACGGTTCCAGCAACTGTCGATTCAGGTGAGAAAATAGTTGCGGCTATTTTCTCAGGGACGGACAGGTATCGTTAAGCAGTGAGATTGGGAAACCGCAAAAAACCAATCTTTCCCTGTCCGGTGTAAGGAAAAGGGATTGGAAATTAAAGGTAAGTTCTGTAGGCTATTGGAGTAGCCTCAAGGATGTCAGCGTATTCTTCCGTCAGACTCTCATGGTCGATTCGGTTACTTATATATCTGATCTAGACGCGCTTCTTTCGAACGGCAAGGCGTCTTGTAATTGGTCCTGTCGGTGTGTAGGTAGGAGGATCCTACTCGTCGGTCTTGTGGCCTGATGTATTTTTGACTTTTTCTTTAATAAATTTTTCTATGTGGTTGGAAGACTTTCAGCATCATATCTTTGGTTTAGACTGTTGGGATTTTTTTCTATTTCTACGGATTCTCTGATTTCTCGATTTTTTTTTAATTTCAATATTAGCTACCATTGTAGTTTGGTTCAGGTTTATTGTATGTCCTGTGTTTGAGACATGTGTTCTGTTTTCGATGGCATTTCGATGTTCTTCTCCTCTAACATTGATTCTTCGGTTGGTCTGTCCGATGTACGATTCCTCACAGTCCCTGTCTAGAATCTTGCTTACTCCTTGATTTTCTAACGATATTTTTATTTTGACGGATGGTAAAATAGTTGAGATTTTTCTGTCGGTATTAAATATCGTTTCTATGTTGTGTTTTCTCAGCACTCTCCCTATGTTTTCTGTTGTACCCTTTACATATGGTAGAATAGCTTTTGCAATCGGTTTTGCATCTTCCGTTTTGTCCTTTATTCTTTCTTAAGCATGAGCCTTTTCAATGGTATATGTTGATAAGCCGTTTTTCTTAGCACTGTTTTCATAGTATGTATTTCTTTATTTTTATGTTCTTTGACAATTTTCCCAATCTTGTCATCAGAGTTTTAATGACTGAATGTAATTGTGCAGGATGGTGATGTGAAGCGGCATGTAGATATCTGTCGGTATGTGTGCGTTTTCTAAAACACATCTAAAATGGTAGTTGTTCGTTTTCTTCCAGTTTCATAGTAAACTGGATTTTATGGTGGATATTATTGACATGTTCTAAAAATACCTTTAGTTTTTCTTCTTCATGCGTTCAGATTATAAAAGTATCATCCCCGTACCTAAGCCAAAGTTTGGGTTTGTGTTCTGCTATTCCTATTGCTCGTTGTTCTATTTCTTGCATTAACAGGTTTGCTCTTACTGATGAAAGTGGCTTGCATTCTTGACATAAGAATCCGCTTCTGCATATGGTTGTAGTCGTTCAGCCAAAAATTTTGCCAGTGGTTGTAAGGGAGATCCGATAGAACTAACTATTAACTGCAATGGTAATTCTTCCTTATGTACCTTGGATAGGCCGTAAAGTTTTGGACGTCTTGACGAATTCTCTCTAGGTATGAGATGTAACTGATGTTTTTTCTTGATGTCTAAGGCTTGGATCTTGGGTTTTGTTACTTTTTCTAGATATGGATGTCGTTTATTTTTGTTTCGTAGTCTTGAATATTCGTTACTATCGTGGCGTTGCCTTTGTCATCTGGGAGCACGATGATTTCTTTGTCGTTCTTCAAATTGAATAAAATATATACATATATTACAACTTATTTTGCAGATTTACGACAGTCCCGCCAATCGCTAGCAATGCAATCGGACCGGATGTCGGCACGTCCCCACCACGTCGCACCTGCACACTCCATAGTATCATCCAGTAGACGGTCTCGACCACGATCGAGGTCACGTGAACACCAGAGACCTAGCAGTCGCTACAGCAACGCGGGCTCAACGCACACACTCAACAACTATTGTGATAATTCTGATAATTGGACCGACCACGACATGGACATTTACATGGCCAGGAATCCCACCACGCGAAACGGATTGGTGCCTTTGTGAGAGGAAGAATCGACTGAAGAAGTAGTTTGATTTTTGGAAATTAGTAAAATACCAAAACATAAATGTTTTTGTAGTCTCTGAATATTTTGGAACCGTTTTTCTCGAGTAGCTATATAATGATTTGTTTTGAAGTACATTTTATAATTATCAGATGCTAATTGATGTTTCCATGCTTTTCTGTTGTATAACGATCTAACGTATCATTTAATAATCGTTTATGTGTGTATCCTAGCCTCCTCAAGAATTTTTCTTCAGGCGTATTATTGTTTTGTAGAGTTTTATTTTTGTATTTCTCGATATAATTGTGGATTTAAGAAGGAGATTGAGTCCAAAATAGCATCTGTTCATCATCATCTTTGGCTCGACAATCCTCTGTGGATCTTGGCCTGCCATTCTGTTCGGTTTTTGGCAACATGTTGCCATCTTCTGATTTTTAATATTCGTAAGTCGGTTTCTAGTCCATCTAACCACCTAATTCGCGGTCGACCTTTGCTTCTTTTTCCTACAGGTGTTCCTGTGGTTAGCTTTTTAGCAATGGTATTTTCTGGCATTCGTATTATGTGTCCAGCCCATCTAAGTCGCTGTGTTTTAATGAACGTTATGACATCTGGCTCATCAAAGAGCTGATACAATTCAAAATTATATCTTCTGCGCCACTGCCCTTGGTCGTTTACAGCTCCAAATATTTTGCGGAGTATTTTACGCTCAAATATTCCCAAAAGTCTTTCATCTTTCTGCGTTAGAGTCCATGTTTCTGCTCCATATGTGAGGACCGGCCTCAGCAATGTTTTGTATATAATAATTTTAGTTTTTCTTTGAATGTTTCTTGAGTGGAAATGCTTCTGGAGTCCATAGTATGCCCTAATTGTAAGATTTATTCGTCTTTTGATTTCTTCGCTTGCTTTATTGGTAGCAGTCAATAGCGACCCAAGGTATGTGAAGTTGTCAATACATCCAAAGGTATGACTTCTAACATGTACTTGGTTTTGTCTTCGTTGACTATGACTAGACCGACCTGTTTCGCCGCTGTTTCCAATTCTAGGAGATATTGCTCAACATCTCGCTTGCTACGCCCTACTATGTCATTGTCATCAGTAAGACTTGTATCGATCTATTGTAAATAGTACCGCCATCCCTAATTCGTGTATCTCGGACTGTCTTTTCTAAGGCAATATTAAATAGGAGGCAAGCCAGAGCATCTCCTTGTCTGAGTCCATCCTTTATCTCAAAGGATCTAGAACTCTCTCCCTGTATTCTAACATAGTGGTTAGACATTGTCATTCTCGTTAGTCGGATAAGTTTCTCTGGTATACCAAACTCATGCATTGATTGGTATAGCACTGTTCTCTTGACACTGTCGTATGCGGCCTTGAAGTCGACGAATAGGTGATGGGTTTCAATATTGAATTCTAATGTTTTCTCGAGAATCTGTCTTATTGAATGAATCTGGTCAATTGTTGATTTTTCTGGGGTGAATCCAACTTGATATTTACCAATTATGCCCACTGTGTAAACTTGCAATCTTTCGTAGAAAAATATTTGCTAGTATTTTGTAAGCAATTGTAAACAGGGTTATACCTCGATAGTTGTCACACTGGAGCTGGTCACCTTTTTTATGTAACGGGCATCGCCACCATTCTTGTAGAGCTCACTGCAAATTTGATCAACTCAAAATAGCATCTGTTGACCTTGCAAATTCTTCGGTTTATCTCTGCGGTAGTTTTATTTTCAGTGTTAAGGAGCTTTCCCAGGTATACAAATTCATTAAATGCTTCGATGACGTCGTTTTCTATAAAAAGTGGTCCTAGGATTTGTGGTTGCGTGCTTATTTTCATACACTTCATTTTGTTAGTACTCCTCTCGTACAGCGTTTTCCATTCCCAAAAATATTGAAATCATCAGCATAGGCCAGGATTTGCACTGATTTATTATATATTAAACCAGGGGTTGTGATTTGTGACATAAGTATTACTTATTCCAGAGCCAGATTGAAGAGTACACAGAAGAAAAGGTCTCCCTAACGCAGCTTATTTGTTTAAAAATGTTCAGACAGTTCCTCCTGAATTCGTCTATTGAATACTATTGTCTATTCATAAGGAATAAAAGGAAAAAGTGGTATTCTGAAACAGGGTTTTTCTTAAAATTGAGATAAACGCATCGACTTCTTCAGAAATTTTAACAACGTGTTTTAAATTTAAAGCTCTGTTAAAGTCTCAGTATTGCAGAAGGCAGGATCATTTTTTGCATACTTTAGAATTTAATTTATTAGTAAGAAGACGAATGGACGTTGCTTTTTAAGTGAACAATGCAAAAAATACCATGTTGAAGAAGTAGTTATGGTTATTGGATATGTCAAAGACTTTTTTGATATCATTGAACTCTCCAAATATTTTTAAAGTGGTTGATTTTTGGCCTAGTGTATAGGATATATTATAATAATGAAAGTAAACCTGCTACTTCTTCTTATAGTTGCATGACTGTCACAAACCACGCACCATCACGGCATTAGTTTAAGTATTTTAGTCATGCTGTTCCTCTTCTGGCAGGACCACTTCCTCTTCTTGTATGACATTTCGTATGACAAATCATTTTATAAAAAACTATTGTATTAATTGATGCTTTGTATTGAAGTGGTATTGAATTTCCACAAATCAAACTATGATGCTTAGCATACAATCTAAGAAAAAACAGTGTAAATAGTGTATTGTAGGTGCAAATGATTCACAAAATATTGATTTAAATTAGATTTTTAATAAAATTTAGATTAGGTAAAACAATTATAGTTTATAGGAAGAATGATTGAATGGAGTAAACGATGTGTAGCTATATGATCTTTTAACGTTACTATTTAAATAAATTCGGAAACTTTCAAAGTCACAGTCAGTTTTGCTTGAATATCCCGTGTGTGGATTCATGTGAGTTATTTCCACATACTGATTGTTCAAATAAGACACAGTTCAAAACCACAAAATGAATAATTGATCAAATTAGTTATAATAATAAAGCTATCTTAAAGTATTAAACGAAAAATTCCATATTTAAGAGCTTATGGAAGTTGGACAATAATAATATCGAAATAATACATTGAACTTAAAGTAACGTGGCCAACATTGCTGAGACACCCTCTATAGATTAATATGATAAAGCTTGACAGAGCTATGACAGGTATATTATATATTTTAGAGTGTTTTGCATAAATATGCCTTTAAAAACAAATCAATCAAGGGTAGAAGCATATAACCTACAAAATCTTCGTCATTCAGTCGCTCGTCATAGATTAGACGGCAAAAATCTACAAGATACCAAAATATTTTCTAATATTATCTATTCTGGGTAGTTGTTGTGTTGCCTGGAACTTGAAACTTCATTATGTGATCATTCCAGTGGCACTACCACTTCAATGCAGTAATTGCTTCGATGATCCCTTCTGTGAGCTTCTCGATAAATTCTCAATCTTTGTATGATTTGTTTAGTAAATCGTCTCCTAGATTTACAATAGTTGTAATAAACGAAAACAAAGTTGTAAAAAGCATAGCCCTATTTTAAGAGAGGATATTAATGATACAACTGCTATTAATAAATGTGAATAGACTACCAGTATATGTATGACCCACACAAGACTGACGAAGAAGATATTGAAAATCTCTATACTGATTTAAAAAGAGTATTTGCATCTAGAAAGAAGCACCGGCTCAATATTCTCATGAAAAATTTTAATGCCAAAATTGACGAAAGAGAACAGGAAGATATATATAAAAACGTCGTCTGGGAATACCAAACGAAAGAGAAGATATGTTGTTGGGATCGTCGGTGCAAACAAAAGGAAGTGGAGTATCAGGATCTTTCAAGTTAGCGTCTACCTAATCATCGTCGTCTGGATCTACAAAGCATGGTGAGAAAAAAAAAAGAAAGCTAGAGAAACAACTAAGACGAAAAAAAAACTGCCAAACGTTCAGCCACTGGCGAAAAGGCAAAATCTGTAAAGAAAGTGGCCAAGGCTAAAAAATATACTCATATATGCGTCTATATTATTTGGTATTAATCTCCAAATTCTTTACAGGTAGATTTGAAGAGAGGTTAAAACATTTAAACTTCACATCTATAAAACTCTAATGAGACAACGACTTGATAGATGTCTCTAGTAATTATTTTAAATTAAATTAGTATCAATTGTAAAAATATTCCTCTACTCATCTCTTCAATTATGAATCTAAGTCGCTTGAAACACGAATATAGGAACACTTTTTGTAATTGCTCAAAGAGACTATTCGTAGATGTAAATAAAGTTGTGTGTGCATTTATTACTAATATAGATTAGAAACTCCCGATGCTGTTAAGATACTGTAAGTGTCTCTTATTTATTGTTTAAATTTTTGTACATATATTTTTCTACATAAATAAAATTACAAAATTTAAATAGTTGTGAATCATTAATTATTTCCCAGGGTAGTGGAAACAGCGAAGACAACAATCGACAGAAACTCAAAGGAAAACGAAATAAAATTGCGGAATGATTAGCATTGACAATATATGACAATACTCTGAGAAAATTTATTAAAAACGATTAGCTGTAACTGTAAAATAAATTGCTCCCAAACGTGTAGCTACATGATTTGGAATGTTCTGATTATTGTACTCATTGCCAAGGCCAGTTATCCAACAACAGACATTTACGAAAATTGAGGTGGACATTGATTCGGATGAGGAGATAGCCTTAGAACAAAAAATTGAGGATGTCTTACTAGCATCATAGAAACAATTTCCTGAATCAGATTACCCACTCTTTGAATACAAATCAGTTGTTGATATATTCAAAATGTTCATAGATGAAGAAATCATTTTATTCCTGGTACAGGAAACAAACCAATACGGTACTTTCAAGAACCTACCCGACCCAGGAGTCTCGCTAGAGGAAATGAAATGTTTCTTTGCTATATTTATTCTTAGTGGTTATAATAATCTTCCCAGCAAGCGTTTGTATTGAGAGCAAAATCTTGACAATAGAAACAAACTTGTATATACCATTTTACGAACATAGCCCACAAGTATTACAGGAATTACTGGCGTATGTCTTCACCTTATTCTATAATGGACACGACTTACCACCGGAGTGGACAAAAGCACATATTAACCACGTATACAAAAAAGGAGATAGAAAGAATTATTCAAACTAAAGGGGGCTAAGTGTCATAAATTCACTCTCAAGACTGTATAGAAAAATAATAAAAAATAAAATTGAAAAAGAGATGACAGATGTAGAAGAACAGAATGGCTTTCGTGCAGGCAGATCCTGCATGGAGAGTATATTCTCTCTAAAGCAAGTTATCGAGAACAGATTAGCCCACAACCTTTCAACTCATGTAGTCTTTATAGATCTGACAAACGCATACGATAGTGTACCAATTTCAATGGAAAAAAACATTAAAACTGGAAATAGATTAACTAGAGAAATTCCTATTAGTAAGGGCCTAAACCAAGGCTGTTGCATAGCAACTACACTGTTCAAAATATATCTAAATGAGGCACTCTCACTGTGGAGAAGAAAGTGCTGCAATATGGGCATCCCAATCGGAGATGATAGATTGTACACGATACATTTCGCTGACGACCAAGCCATTCTAGCTGAAGACGAGAGTGATATAAGCTACATGCTTAGAAATCTGGAAGATGAATACACCAAATGGGGCCTCACAATTAATATACAGAAAAATTAAGTACTTAGTTTTAGGAGAAAAACCAGAAAGCCTACAAATCGAAATGGGAACTATAAAACCAACAGACAATTTTAAGTACTTGGGAGTCCAAATAACATCAAAAGCAGGAAGTAGCGAAGGAATACATTCTAGGATTGGCCAAGCAAGATCAGCCACCAGACACCTACACGGACTATTATGGAATAAAAAAATAACAAAAGAAAATAAAAGAAGAATTTATAAAACAATAATAGAAAGTATTGGACTGTATGGCGCCGAACTCTAGGAAACAAACCAAAGAAACAAATCAAAAATTAAGGCCATGGAAATGAACTACTGGAGACAATGTTGCCAGCTCACTAGACTTGGGTGAGAAACGAAGATATTCGGAGAGAAATGGAAATCGATCTAGACATAATAGACACAATCGAAGCCAAAAGACTTAACTGGTATGGACACCTTCAGAGAATGCCGGAAAATAGATGGCCAAAAAAAATAGAAGAATGGACTCAGCCAACTAGAAGAAAACGAGGTAGACCAAGACGATCCTGGAGAGACGATGTCGACGATGCAATGACCGCCAGAGAGCTAACAACTGAAGATTGCTTCGACAGAAACACTGGAAATTAGGATGCGAGAAGCGGCGCCAGCTGTAGAAGACTCGCTTGTTATTATATATATAAAACTGCTCCCAAAAAAATATTAGCATCACATGAAAAACTGCGAAAAAATTATCTGGACACTAATGGGTTAAATCCTATTTGATTTTAGTATGGGAAATAAACTTTTTAATTATAATAATTTTTAATGCTTGAAACTATCATCATCTTTTGAATAATTTAATTACAAAACTTTTATGTCATATACAAAATTGTTTTAAAACCAATAGGTCAATATGCGAATAAAATAGGGAAACTAACGAATTTTTATAATTTTTTACATATTTTGGTTAATAAAAAGTTAAACTCACGTTTTACAACTCACGCATAGTGAAATCATCATTTGTAGTGTAATTTTGGAACGATTTATGCAAAAATCTGCGTCTATATGCTTCACAACTTAAACAGATACAGTCATACAATTTTATTAACTTTTATGAATCTTTTGACTTAAAAGAAAGACACAATGTGTGCCTGTGAGTTCATTTAAATCCAACACTGACTATAAAATATATTCATCAATCCGATAACGATTGTTTAGAGATAAAAGAAGAATGAAGAATGAACAATTGTCGACAAAAAATAACCAAACATTCGAAAATAATATTCTAATCAGTACGAAGTCAGAAATGAGTACAAAACACGTCCCGATTAAATAGAAGGGCATATGAAAAACTCAGAAAATGCAAAGAAAATATGTAAAACGAAAAGAGAGAAATGTTGAATAGAAAAATAAAACAAATTACAGATTATAATAACAGAAGAGAGAAAATTTTACAAGGAAACCAAGCAATACATGACAAGATCAACAGTTTGCAAGGACCAAAATGAGGCAATTATCAGCGAGAAAGAGGAAATAATGAAAAGGTGCTTTTAGCGATAAAAACGTGGTTTTAAGAGCTGTTAAACAGAGAAAAAAAACAAACGAAGATGAAGAAATAATTCACCATACAGCAGAACAACTATACCTTATTCCATTAAGCGGTGCAGGGCATATAAACAACGATAAATTTAACAGATAATTGTTAAAGATGTTCCAAATGAGTCTAGTTCCGATAAGTAACAGTATAATTATGACACTTTATTATTTTTTTTCTTTTCTCAAATATTCGTGTTTATTGCATAGTAAATAAATTAATGTTATCACTGAATACAAAGTAAGTAAAAAAATACTCCGTTTTATAAAATTAATGAATATTTTATGCGTAAATGCAAGTAACAGTTCTTCAAAAATATTTAAAAACTAACCGGAATGTCCATCTTTATTTCGTCTGGCGATGTTATCGGCGGTTCATACCGGTTCGGACACGATTTAATGTTTATATTTTCCTGCACCGCTTAATGAATTTTACTATAGTTGAGCAACCAACATTGGAAGAAACTATAAACGCCATAAAACACCTAAAAAATATCAAAGCACCTAGCACAGATGGAATAACTACAGAACTGATAGGTTGGACATGCGCTATGGAGGCGTATTCATAAACTAATCGACCGCATATGGGCACTAGAAGTCATCCCAGAAGATTGGAAAGTAGGAATCATACTTCCTATGTACAAAGTGGGAGACAAACGACTCTGCATCTTAGTATGAAAGGTGTGTCCATACCTGTCCAGTCTCTTACATTCTTCAACCAGGAGCATTTTCTTCTTCCTGGACCTCTTCTTCCTTCCACTTTCCCTTCCATTATAAGTCGTAGGAAGTTGTATTTTTCTCCTCTGTAAATATGTCCTAGATAACTCGTTTTCCTGTTTTTTACAATATTTAGCAGTTCTCTCTCAGTACCCATTCTTCTTAGCACCTCGTTGTTGGTCACGTTCTTTGTCCAAGAGATCTTCAGCATCCTTCTCAAAATACTAAGGAAGATATTTGGACCAATCCAATGCGGCGATGGTTCGTGGAGTATTAAAATGAACCAAGAGCTGGATGAACTAATGCAAAGCACAGATATTGTTAGATTTGTAAAGTCACAAAGACTAAACTGGCTTGGTCACCTAGAAAGAATGCCAGAAAATCAAGCTGTAAAAGTAGTCCAGAGATGGAAGCCTCAAGGAAACAAACAACAGGAAGGTCCTGTAAAAGATGGATAGAGGACATAGAGAGGGATATTAAAACCATGAACATGAGGTAGTGGCGAAGGAAAGTATCCGACAGGGCAGAATGGAATAACATTGTTGAGTAGCCCAAGACTTACAAAGAGTTGTAACGCCATTAGAAGAAGAAAAAGAATCAGTACGAAGGAATATTTCAAGAAAAATAAAATAAAAGCTTGGAACTATAATTCATTAAAAATAAAGAAACAAATATATGTGACAATAATCCAAATTATAACAGATAAGTATACAAGTTTTTGAAAATGTATTTTTATTTTATCAAGAGTTAGGTACATTAAGAGAAATTATATGAAAAATTAAACACTTACCCAGGAATAGGCATAGACTTATCCCAACGATACCTCATTTCTTGAACAAACTCGTACCAGATGTGGGCGAAGGCTCTAATTCCTCCTAGACTCTGCAGACAATGTGCCAGCACAATAGACAAACGCCACGGTAGAGAATCGATAGGACACGTCTTAAAACCTTTGAAATCTGCTTCAAATCTTTTGGGAGATGCCTGAAAATAACGAAATCATATACTTTATGAATCAATGTTAGCTGAATAAGAAAAAGTAGTCTGCAGTATTTTATCTCTTAATGTTTATGTCGCCTTCGAAAGGGATTAATTTTTAAACTTGTAATAAATGTAAATATATTTTCAATATGAACTGTATATGTTTTTCTCTATATGATTGCAAAATATGGAAAACCTTTATGGTTTTAAAATAATTATCAGATTGGAGGTAATTAACATCTGTAATAAAGGTAACTCAATGGTTTTGACTCCAAAGTACTTTAAATATTATGTTTATAAATAAAAATCAAGCCACAATTATTAGTTGTAATGAATGCCACAGGAAAGGACTTTAGGAATCAAAAGTACTCAACTTGATTTTCAGTTGGCCATGACTCCATGAGCATAGGAGAATGGTGATATGTATCTTTTGAAAGAATATAATAAT